GTATAACCAAGCATGACATGAGGCACCACACCAGATAGAAATGTCACAAACGAACTCCCGGCCCAAAATGAAGCGAAGATTATCAAGAAGTAAAACAAGAAACCTGAAAGACCACCATCTAGCCCAACAGCCCAAAACGTTGTCGCAGCAAACGCAAATGACAAGAAAATCAACGATGGCAGCACAACAAGTCCATGAGATAACACATAAGATGATCTTCTATAAGCATTATAAGCCGTTTCTCTCATGAAAATATACCTTTCTTGAAGAAAAACGGGAAGGGCTTCAGCGCAAGTGTAGAAAGTTGTTGACATGGCAAAAGCGAAAAACCCTAATCGCTCCCGCACTCCTTTGGGTGAACTATCAAGCTGCCAAAACACTGTAGCTAAAATAAACCCAGTAACCATGACAGCTCCCAATCGGATCCCAAACAATTCCGGAACCCTTCTTGAATTCATAAACGATCTCTTTGACAACACTGCCATTTCCTTCCAAACCGGATTTGCAAATGCTGGCACCATTGAATTGGGACTTATAGCATCATTATTAGTAGCACCAGACACCAACTTCCCTTTTGAAATGGCAGCACTGATAGCTTCTTTAAGTGACAAACCATCCCCGTCGGGTTCACCCCTTCCATTTCTTGAAAGCTTCAAATTATGCCATGATTTGTTAAACTCCACCAAACTCTTAGTCCCTCCCGGTGACCCTTCAAGTTCTCTAATCAAATCCAAGGCATACTCTGTCCGGTTCTCGCCGTCCGGTATCGGATGCCCAAAGTCCGAGAAATAAACCGGTAAACTCATCGGTGAACCACTATAAACAGTTTGTCCACGCGACAACAATATCAACCGGTCTAATAACCCAAGAATTCGATAACTTGGCTGGTGCACTGACATAATCACAATACTTCCGCTCTGTGCTATCCTTTGCAAAACTTTCACAACCATGAACGCACTTGTTGAATCCAAACCGGACGTGGGCTCGTCAAGAAAAAGAATAATCGGATCGTGAATTATATCAATCCCAATCGATACACGACGTCGTTCACCTCCACTTACACCTCTATGCCCTTCATCACCAATTACGGTTTTTGCCGCGTTTTTAAGCCCTAATTGTTCAATTAAGGCTTGCACGCGCAACCGCTTTTTGGATTTTGACAAACTCCTCGGCAACCGAAACTCAGCCGCAAACATTAGAGTTTCTTCCACTGTTAGCATTGGAAATAGCAAATCGTCTTGCATGACGTAAGCTGATATCACCTTCAACATTCTAGACTCCAAAACTTCGCCGTTTAGCGTCTTTGTGCCTTTCAAGCTTCCTTTTGCGATTCGGTTCGCAAGTGCGTCAATGAGTGTTGACTTTCCGGATCCACTCGCGCCGAGAACGGCCAGAATCTCGCCATCACGTGCCTCGCCTGAGATGTCGTTCAAGAGAGTCTTAGTGGTGGTGAAGAGGCTTTCACCTCCGACTGGATCGCTATCTGTGGTAGCGCAGGGGCGGTGGATATTCCGGCTGGGGAGAATTGACCGAAGTCTAAACTTCCGGCGAACCTTGACGCTGTAAGTGAGGTTGTTGAACGAAAGAACAAATGGTATCGATCGCGGAACCTCAAGATTCGTGCTTCCAAGCTCGAGCACTTGGTGCACCGGGGTCTCGCTGCCATTTCCGGTGGCTTCACGGATGACGTCACCGACGTTTTTTAGTAACTGACCCAGCGTTGGAGACGTTGCGGTGGAGGAGAAAGGTGGCTGGGGGTGGTGATTAGTGAAATCAATGGAGATTGATTGGGTGTAAGATGGCGTCGTACCAGAATCTCGACTAGGTGAGTAATCTTCTGCTACAACGCGTGACATTTTGATTTTAGCAGCTAGAGAAGTGATTTTAAAGATTCTTAAAGAAAGTGAGGATAACGGTGTGGAGGATGGTGAGGTTGAGGTTGCATGCGTTACGCTGGTTTAGAGGTAGCGGCGGTTAAAAGAGAGGAGACGTGATTAATGTGGTGGTGGTGGTGGTGGTGGTGGAGGTGGTGTTCGGTTGGGGGGTTTTAGAAGCAAAGAGGAGAGATTTTGTTTCCAGTTCGTTGTATTTTGTTTTTCCAGTTCTGTGGTTTCTATATATAGCGATTTGAACTTTACTGCAATAGAGAGACTGTGTGGAGAAGTACTGTGTTAATTTAAGTTTAGATGTTTAATTAATTTTTAATTGTTTTTTTTTCTTTTTTCTTTTTTCATCGGGGGAAGGGGTGGGAGAAAGGTGACCTAAATCTCCTAAATCTGCCGTCCATCCGTTGTCTTTTCTTTGGGAGAGTAAGATATGACACGTGGGTGGTTTTGGTTGGTGAGAGTTGAAACGTGACAAAATGGTTTTGTTACAGGTATTTGTATCTAGGGTTTAATTAAAGTAGGTCGGATGTTGATCTACTGTATGCGTGAAACTGGGTTTCAGTCCAAGTACACAGCTAAAACTTAGAGGTGAGTGATTCGGTTTGGATTAAAAAAATTTAATCAAATTGATTTTTTTTTTAAATCTAAACAAATTGAATAACTGAACCAAATTGATAGGTTTATTATATTTTAAAAAATCAAATAAGTTTGGTTTATTTTTAAATCAAGGATCTTTTAATTAAATTATATTTAATAGATTTTGATTTAACGAGCTTTAAATTTATGAAAAGTCTTTAATTTTTAATATCTTTTTATTTGAATCAGTTTGGTTTTATAAACAAGATTTATTTTAAAAATAATTTAACCAAAATTATAAAAAAAATCAAAAAACCATTCAATCCAAGTGATTTTTTATAAATGTTTTTAGATAATTCCATTGATTTTGGTTTCATAAACCAGATTTATTTAAAAAAATTTCTAACCAAAATTATATATATATATATATATATATATATAAACCATTCTATTCTAGTGATTTTATATGAATATTGGTTTTAGATAATTCCATTAATTTACTCTCATCACTTTGAAATAAGTACAGTAAGCTTGTAGCTTCTATTGCTCCTAATTCTTAAATCATTGAACGGACCACTTTTACCTTTCACAAATTTGACATACTTAAAATATTTTAAAAAAAAAATGTGTGGTGATTATTTAAAAAATATATGGTGATTCTCAAATACGGATCATCAAATGAATGAGCTTGTAATTAGATTAATGAATCAAAGCTCAATCTAACCCACTCATCCCATCAGTTTTGATAACAATTAATGTTATCTTTATGGTCCCTAATGGATTCATAATTAAATATTGATTAAAATGTGTAGGCAATTGCTTAAGAAAAGATAGAAAGATATAGAAGGTTGGGCTTAGCAACTATAACATTTAGAAAATAAGTCCAATTTACGAATTTAAACAACTTCTGATACTCAAATTAACATTAATATATAGTGAAAGAAACGAAATTTAAAAAGTTATGCTGTGTATTTTTGCAAAATTAAACTCAGAGAGCAATAAGAAGATGAAGTTTTTCTATGGAAAAAATATAATCTTAAATTTAAATGAGCGTGTCTATGTAAGGATAGTATAATTAATGTATTTGTCACTTAAAGTTTCTAACGAGTCGGAGATAAAGATTTATACCAATAATGAGTCTTTGCAAAAGTTTCTCCCGTTAGTTTTGTAAGATGTGCAACATCAACCAATCTAATATTTTTTTTATTGATTATTTTTGGTATTTGTTGGATCCTAAATTTTTTAGTTAACTAATATGATATTTTTAGTTTTTTTTTCTAGATAGCAATTTCCCTGATTTTTTTATGAATGGAAGCATGTTTTTTTTTTCTGATTTTATATATATGTATATACTACTTGTTAATTTCCTGACCTATTTTATTTTAATTTATTATATTTTTATATTTGATAAAAAAAAATGAACCGATCTATGGGGATACGTTGTCATAAGGTATGTTTTTATTTAATAGAGTTGTATGTTTTATCTTCTTGGTTAATGACATGTAGACTAATGAATTTTTTTGGAAGTATGATAAATGTTTTTTAAAGTGTTTTTTTTTAGAAATTTATCAAAATAATATCTTAAAAAAATATTTATGATATCAAGACATCAAAACAATTTAAGAACACTAGAAAAAAATAAATTTAAAACTAAAAAAACAATTTTAAAAAAAAATACAATTGAAATGTAATGTAAAATGTAGCCTAATTTTCAAGTGCAACAATGGACTTTAAGATATTTTTCATATGCAAGATTGGAGTTACACGGATCTCAGTTAGCTTTCTATCTCAATATATTGTTTTATATGACTTCGGTATCAGAAGAGCATTGAATTCACATGATATATTCAGATACGAATAAATAGAAGCTGTATTTGAACCATCAAAGCTTCAATATTTCTAATTCAAGCAATGGAACATGGATTACGTAATCAACAGGCTCTAGGTGCCTAACCATCATAAATATAATTAAGTTGCGGTGCCTAACTCATCTAAAGTTGGCGGAATTACACAGGCTTTACCGTATCGGAGGGGTGAATTTGGCTATATGATCGATACTATAATATTTTCCCTACTGAAGAATAAGACGACGATGGATGCAAACACAGAAGATAGTAGTTAATTAGCGGGCACCCAGTGACGAGATCCTAACAGTTCCAAGTGTTTCTATTTGTCCCTTCAACCGGGAAAAAAGAGTAATTCGAAATTTGTATAGTGTAATTAAAGTTATTTCAAAATTAGTCCTATTAAATTATAAATTTGGTAACTTCTAGTTAAAAGATTTTTTCTAGTATTAAACTATCAATGGATGCCAATCAGCACATTTGATATCATAAAGCTAGTTATTAGACACGGAACCCTTCAATGGAAACTTTTAGGATGGCCATGAAACCGAATCCAATATAGTATATGACAACATTGGTTCTATCAAGTATCTCTCAGATTAATTAGTCCATGCAAAGAGGCATGCTCGTAGCTCTATGATTTCTCAGAATAGAATTTTAAATAATATGGATCTGGTATCGATGGCTCCACAGGTTTAATTCAACGAATGGAACTTGAAGAATATTTAAAAAGTTATTTAGTTCAACCAATTTAAGAAAAAGGAAACCAAATGCGAAACAAAATGGAAAGATGTGGTATGAACGCATATATGCACACACAACCCACATATGATCATGGTCTATCGCAAGTACAATGGACAATTTCCTCAAGTCAAATTAAATGATAAACAATTCTTACAGAAGAGTTGTTTTGTTAGCCATGAAGTGCCCACCACCATGCCTATACTACTGCCCCTACACGGTCTCATAAATCGGAACAGAAAACAGTGTCAACATGAAATTCAGAAAGCAGCATGACATTTTGGTACATATGACTCTTGGTAGTTTAAGGTAGATAGGCCAGCGTCATTCACCAAATTGCAAGCTATCCCGCACCTGCTATTAAAGCTGTGAAAAATCTCCCTGGTCAAAATAAAACATGGGCATAAACAGTCGGCGTGCGTGAGGGCATAGGACTCGTTTCTCGACTGTTGTCATAATGTAACTCTTATGTCATCTTTCATTAAGGAGGACGGCAGCCAGCAGGTTGTTTTGTTACCCGCCTTATCGAAGCAAAGGGCAACCTGTCCACATGGTGTCATGAACTGTGAAGAGCTATGTCAACAAATAGGACTTGGCCTTTTATCAATTGGATTCACTAAGTGCAGCATTTTTTCAGGTCGAGGTCGTGACCTTAAGCAGCCATTTCCTCCCTCTAATTAATCACAGTAGCTTTGAACCCAGCAAGCTGCGCTGTCGCATAATAATAAACATTATTGAGGTTGAGTCTTAGGCATTTAGCCCACATGAAGGTTAATTAACAAGTTTTTTTTTCAAGGAAAAACAACCACCACATGATATATAATAGGTCGTTTGCATAAGAAATAGAGATATTTTAATATGTTTAAATATTATTAAAAAAAAACATTAAGCTAATATTGATGCTATTTTTATACAAGTTCAACTAGGTATACCTGAATTCTTAAAGCAACATATAATTATTATCTGGCAATTCAACTAGGTATACAGCCTGACCCTAGCAGCTGCCACACTGATCATCTATCAGGGTACTAGAACTGTTCAATTTGACGATAGCATTTGCATTTAAAATTCACAACTTTGAAGCCCTTTTCTGCCTACCCCCACGGACAGAATGGTTCAGAAACATGGAGTTCAAATTTACAACGATCCAAAAGTAGCTGAACATGTTAAAACTCTACTTATGAAAAGCATACAACGATCCAAAAGCCCATATGGGTGAAAAGCGCATCAAAGTCAATCTCAGAACTCTGAACCACAAATTGATGGAAAGTAGCTGAACTTCAACAAAAATCAGTAATGACCTGGTGATGCTTTCATCAAAGCAGCCTCTCACATTTGATCATCAGAGAAATTGACAGCAAGATCCCAATAGTGGGCAACACCAGCATCAGCAAAATATTTTCGGGCTGCAGCTTCAGTCACACAGTCATGTAAAGAAAACCTGTGGAAGCTAGGTTTGGCAACACTACCTTGCCACACCAGCATGCATTTGTTCACAGGTTTCTCCTCATTGTCATCTCCTTCATCCTTGTTAACAGCTTCAGCCCAGTTTATACGCCTAAGCATTAGCTTCCCATACCTTTTGATGGATTTGCTTCCCCCTTCAACCACCACCACACAAATTCCCTCTGTAATCACCGTGCACCCAGTCAAGCGGTTCTCGTGAGCATTGACATCAACTTTGAAGCGAGTTTTCTTGTCTGAGAGGTTGTTGATTCTGTAAACAGAAACAATAGTTTCCATGGTGTTTGGATCATCAAAGAGCTTTCTCTCCTTCTTTTCACGGCGCTCGGCAGGAGTGAGCTTACGTGCAGTATTTCGATCAATATGAGCTTGTTCACGTTCAGCAGCTGCAGTACGAATTTGCTTTTCAAGTCTGGTGGGATCTTGTGTTGCTTCTGAGCCAAGAACTTTCATTAAATTGCTCATCTTAACCTTTGGTTTTGGAGGTTCAATCAAGCCTTGTCTAATCATCTCCTGTCTATCCTTTTCCCGAGCAAGTCGACGCTGTGTTCTGAGCTTCTTCTGCTCCTTCTTCGTTAGTTTCAAAGGTTGAGGTGGTGGAGGAGCTGGCTCAGCCGGTGGATCAATAGGACGTGGGTGTTGCACATAGATAGTAATTTTATCCCTTTTCAATCTATGCTCAGTGATAAGAACATCATTTTCACCATAAGTCCCATCAGTCAGTAAAGGTGCATCCCTAAATTCAGCAACCAAAAACATATGAACTTCTTTCCAGATAAGTTGTATAAGATGAAATGGTAATAAGCACATAGAATAACAAAAGAAAAAGTTCTCCAACTCTCTTCAATTAGGTTAATAACAAAAAATTTACAAACATCCGGACAGATACAGATGAAACCCATGTCAGGCTTCACAAGAAGGACAAAGGAGCCTAGGATGTACTGGAACAGAGCCCCTGACATCATCTCTCTACTAAAGGAAATGGTGAAGGATTCAAAGTTATTCACAATACCTGAAAGTCCTCAACCCAGGTTAAAAAGCCACTCAGACCAACTCCGTGAATAAGTAGAACACAACTTTAAGATTCAGTTGTCGTTGCACCTCAAACATATCAACATCTTAGTAACTATACAAGCGGTTGCAAATTGTTCCTAGCATGGGAGTTAGCAAGACCCTCACATCTTAGTAAATACACAACCAGTAACAAGCACTTGTTCTTAAGATGAGATTCACCAAGCAATGGTTCCAGTTAGATAGATCATGCAGACTCAAATTAGCAGGTAACATATGAAACAAATTCTGCAACAGAGTAACAACAATTGGTAAGAACCATGTTATATAAAGAAAAGTAAATGTCAACTTACCACCACTCTACATCGGGAATCGGATCCTTAGGCTTTGCTTTGGTTGTAAATCGCTCTGATACCTCTATCAAATTAGGATTTATATCCGGAGCTGCCTTTGCCTTTGCATGTAATGCTTGCCTTGCCTTCATATCCTTTTCTCTTTCTTCTCCAAATTGATTCTGGGAACAGAAAATAAAATCCATAAATATTTGCAAACAATTAAAAATAGCAACGAGGATTCAGCAAAAAGGTGTGAAGGTTGCAAGAATTACCCTCAGTTTCATTATTTCAGCTTCTTTTAACCACTTGCCTTCCTCTACAAACTGGAAGGTCATTCGTTTGGGTCTCAAGAACTTATTCTTATTAATTCCCATTTTCACATCATAATAAGGGTTCGATTCAGGATCCACATCTAATTCAGGTTTAAGAATCTGGAATGCTTCCTTTTTCTGCTTGTTGATGTTGACCTGAAAAAGATCATATGTATCGCGTGACAGCCCTTCACAGTCAAATATCACAGCTCCAACAAAATGAAACTAATTTAATAATAGAAAGAAACTGTACAGCTTATAAAAATTACCCAACCTTTAAGGTGCTAAGGTTGCTTGGTTTAGTAACATTCACCACATTTCCATGTTCATCTATTTCCCTACCAAGTGCATCCACACGAAGAACAGGGGTCTTAGTAGGCTTCTGTGGCACAGAGACTTCTGCTGGCAACTGGCCAGGGAACAAGTTTATAAGAGGAGCAAACTCGGGGTCCTGGCGAAATCCCATTTTAGCAGCAAGTTCCTGGGCACGCTTAACAGCTTCATAATTGGGCATGCTAGTAATATCAGGCAGAGGTGCCACACCAGTTGAAGGTGTCTTTATAGACACCATAGTGCTTGTAGATAAGGAGTATGAACTACAAACTGCCCCAGTCGAAACAGCAGTAGTGGTGGTTGCTGACGGCAACACCCTTTGTGAGCTACCACCTGAACTTGTGTTATTACCCTTGCTCGACTACAAGAATAAACATAACCAGTTCATAAGTACTGGAATCACGGAAGGTAAAACGGTATAGCATTAGAACATGACAGAGAGAGATGAAGAAACAGCAGCACATGCAAGGATATCATAGAAATTCTATGATGGGAACTGACCAGGGGTAGCTTCTTCAGCTTCTCTGACAGTTCCTTCTGCATTTGCAAGGCTTTCTTAGCTTTTGCTAATGCATCAAGTGATAGGTTTCCACTTTTCCCAGCAGCTGAAGATGTCCCATCTGTACTAGATTTTCCAGGAACCTCATGAGATCTGGCAATACTAACTCCCTTATTTTCATTTGTGTTTGAAATTGAAGATACCTTGGTTGGGAGGGGGTGAACAGCTGCCACAGAGGTCTCAGGCTGATTGCCTGGAGTCTTAGTTAATGATTCCAGAGAAGCACCCTGCAGGTATGGAACAATAAACTTCACATGTTAGCATACAGGCTTGACAATAGGAGCACCTTAAGAAAGACCATGGCAAAAGTAAATTTGTTGGAAGGGTGGGTGGTGGACAACAAATAAAATGCTTTAAAAAGATATTAGGCTAATAATAAAATGAGAAAAATCACGCAAAAAGCCACACCACACAAATAAATTTCAGGAGGTTCTGAATGGTGGGGAAATATACAGTAACTGCTTCTGTAGATTCTATGCATACGAGTTCTACTTATACATTATACAAAATCTGAACGTGTATAATTAGGCATAAAAGTAAAAATCAGACACCACTAACCTTGCTTAGAGAACAGTTAAGGTTAAAAAATTCATAAGCAAGGTTCACAGAGCACATCCTTTTAAAGTGGGTCACACATTCATAGCATAAAAATAGAAAATAAAAGCAGGTCTAACAGCAAAGAGATATAGGATGTTCTTTTCAACCTGCATCTAGAGTGATGGGAATACAGCATCCAGCACCAACTAAGAAAATCACCATTCCATTTCAAAAGTAGAGAACTTTTAGAAAACCAATGGTTTGGAATCTCAGAATACAGTTCAAAAGGATCCTATTACTATTATAAAACTGGTTAAGACAGAGAGTCCGTGTGCAGGAAGAAACACGCCCGCAAGGCAAAGAGTAAAGGGTAGTGAGTAGAAGGGACAATTGAGCAAGTGAACAAAAGAGGAACAACATCGAGTCCCTTTGCAGAATTCCTTAGGCATACAAATCCAAAAAATATGAGGATTGCACACCATAAAAGATCTTCAACAAAGGAAATGGATCTTCCAACAATGTGCCCATTGATCTTTAAGGACTCCTTGTTAAATAACAAAAAATAAACTATAAAGCAAATCAGGAAAAAAACACAAAAAGGATTTCACATATAAGTAAAGACGATAAAAGAAAATACCATCTGTATGTAACTCGACCAAAATCAACAGAAAGAGAAGTTCCAAACCACCCAAACTACATGGCTCCATTGTCCCTTAAAGTTCCATTAACCATTAAGAGTCACCAAAATGCCTACAACATCAAGAACGACATGACTAGCAATGTAAAAGTGATGAAACAGCATTTCTCCAAAAGCAAATATCGCACCCAAAGGAAATAAAATTTCACTTACCAGCTTTCACTTTACACAACCTCCATATAAGAAAATTAAGAACACTACTTAGCAAACCACATATGCCACGAACAATCTACATCTTCCATCATTTAGCACTAAAATAGACCTCTATTTTTCCTACACAACCATATGACTTGAAACATATAAATATCAACATGAGCCAACTAATCGCTAAATTTTCTATTTCTAATAAAGCAGAGATACTAATCATCTTACAATTAAAAAACCACAAATTATCCATTATAACACCTCCATTGTCATATTATCTCCATTGTCATATTACCTCCATAGAAACACACAATAACAGTCCCAGTCAATCATACATGAGCACTAGGAGATGTAACAAGAAATAAAATAGCTTTTAGATGTGAAAAACATATACATAATAAGAAACACAGCAAAAGCAAAACCTGTACAAAAATCAGTAACCGCCATCATGCACACCTTATTCAACTATAACAAGCCAGCAAAAGCAAGCATGGTACCGGAGATAACCCCACTCCCAGTCCACCTCCAAATCACACACAGACCACACAGGAAATTGCATAACCCAATTTTCTGCTTCAGGCATAAACTTAACAGAGCTATATCAAATACTGTGATGAACCACTAATCCCATCTCGCCACTCCCCAACTTCATTATCCCGCACGTAATTCAAACAGACAATAAAAATAGCTAATTAAACCAAACATGCGAGTACATAAAGAACATGACCCTATTCTCCATTCTTAATACATCACGCTAGCCCATTTATCTAAACATCTACACTTAATAAGCCGCAAAACAGCAAACACTCATCGAAAAAAGCACACTAAAAAAAAAAAGAGTCAGAGAGAATACTTACATCTGTAGTCGAAACACCACCGTTTTCTGTGGCGCTGCCCCTGCCGCCGCCAATTGGCTCATCATTGACTTCCTCCTTCACTCCAGCCTCACTCGAATCCACTCTCTTCACATTCTCAAAACTATTACCATTATCATTGTTGCCAGTCCTATTATCCTCTTCTTTCAGTTTTTCACCGAATCTTCTTCTACTCCTCTTCTCCTTCTCAGCAACAGCCCTATCCTCACCACCTCCTCTCTCCTTTCTTTTCTTTCTCTCCGAATAATCTTCATCTACAGTCTCTCTTTCTCTCTTCTCGCGTTTTCTCTCTCTACTCCCTTCTCTCTCCTCTCTCGCATCATACGACCTCTCTCTCTCCTCACGCCTCGATGAGGAAGACGATTTGTGATCGTGCGATCTCTCTCGCCTATCCACACTCTCTTCTCGTTCGTGAGATCTTTCGCGCTTTGTATCATCGCGCCTGGATGATTTGTGATGCTCGCGTTGGTGAGATTCTCTCTCTGATCGGTGGTGGTGAGAATCGGAGGAGTCTCGATGCTTATCGTCTCTTGATCGGTGTTTGTGGTGGTCACGATCACGGTCGTCACGGGTGTGTTTGAAGGAGCGGTCCATTGTAATCTAGGGTTTTGTTAATTGCTATCTGATTTGTTGCTCTCTGTCTCACACTCTTTTTCTTATCTTGAGGGTCCTGAGGGTAGAGAGACAGAAACTAAGATTTTCGTGAAGGTAGTGATGGAACGGCTAGGTTTATTGTATTTGTATCTATTTATTTATTTTATGAATTCGGGCGGTAGAGAAATGAATGGGAGATCTAGGAATATTTAAAAAAACCGGTTCATCGCTAACATTTGAAGTGTCCGACTCAATTCACTTATCAAAATCGAATAATACCGGTATGAATTAAAGATGATTTGAAATGATAAATTTTTTGAAATCCCATGTGCTAAAAAAAAAGACATTCAACACAAAACAACAAATAAAATTAAAATAATTATATATATATATATATATATATAAATCAACTTGAGTTGTATTTAATTAGGTATTGATGTGGAGCAGATGGAAGAGGGGAGAATAGATTACAGAGTAGAACAGATTGTAGGACTGTTAATTTATGCCTTACTATCATAATTTATTTACTTTTGGGAGTTTTAGTATTTTTTTCTTATTTCAGTTATTTCTTTTCTATATGTTTATATTCCTAATCAAGTTAGGTTTTGCAGCTTGTATAAAGGCTGCTTCCTTTCATTGTAAGGTACTTTTGAATTAATAAAGAATTTTCTATTGAGAGTTTTTTTTTTTGGGCTCGTGAATTTGAGCGTGTTATTCTCTTGTTTAAGGATTCGAACAATTCTTTTCATGAAACGGGTGACGCTCTACTTTCTCACAAGCTTCTATTATATCAGATATCTTCATAAAAAAATTATAATAATTTAATTATAATTTAATTATAATAAAAAAATAAAAATAAAAAACATTCACAAATAAAACTCAATTAGACCAATCAAATACGACAGTCCGGACAAGAAATTTCTTTTATAATAATCGGACTGCAGTAAACAAAGGAAAGTTGTTCCTTTATCTTACGCCTTCCGCGAACCCAACATGGATTTGATTAAGTCTTTATGATGGTTGACTAGTATTTTAAAATGGCTCGTTTTATTACTTATAAAAAAACCGCGGATGCAGTACACGTAGAAAAAAAAAAATTCCAAAAAGGTTGTTTGTCTGTACAGGGTTCCCAAATCCATCACTTTCAACAGGGACACCAAATTCTTAAGTCGTTTTTGGCAAACTTTATAGCAGCTATTTGATTTATCTTTGAATTTCAGTAGCACGAATTATCCTTAGTCCGATGGGCAAATGGAAGTGATAAACTATACTTTTGGGAATCTAACTCGCTGTTTTTCCAAGGCAAAACCAAAATAGTGGGATCTTGCTCTTGCACAAGCTGAATTTGCTTATAATAATATGCTCAACCGATTTACTAGGAAAATTCTATTCCAGATTGTTTATTGCTGTCCTCCATACCATGCTTTAGACTTCGTTCCCTTGCCAAAACTACCTGGTTTGAGTGTTGCGGCAGAGAATATGGCGGATTGCATCAAGACTATACAAGAACAAGTGTGGCAAAATTTGGAGACCTTTAATAGCCAATACAAGGCAGTGGCTGATGAAAAAAAAAAAGGCTCAAGCATTTCAAGAAGGGGACCTCGTTATGGTTTTATGTAAAGAACGGTTGCTAGTAGGCGCATACAATAAACTGAAAAAACAAGAAACGTGGTCCTCTTTAGATTTTGTAGAAAATTAATGATAATACATATGTCGTGGATTTTCCTACCGATATGGCCATCTATTCTACCTTTAATGTTGCGGATTTGTTTGAATATCGTTCTTCTGGTGTGTTGTCTTCTCATTTACTTCACTAGAGGTTGAGTTCATTTAACACAAGCAAGACTAATATAGAACAGATTATAGAATACAACGGATTGCAAAAAAAGCTCTAGGAACAAAATCAGGAGCTGCAGTTGCTGTTGGAATGACCCTTTTACCAGATTATTTCATAAATTTAGGACCGTTGATTTATACCTTAATATTGGAACTTATTTACTTTTAGGAGTTTTAGTTTTTTTTCCTTATTTCAGTTATTTCTTTCCCAAATAGTTATAGTCCTAATTGAATTAGGTTTTGCAGCTTATATAAAGGCTACTTCATTTTATTGTAAGGTATTTTTGAATTAATAAATAAAGATTTTTCTCTTGAATTTTTTTTCTCTAAACTCGTGAATTTAGATATATTACTCTTTTGTTTGAAGATTCGAACGATTCTTTTCAAGAAGCAGGCGACGCCCTACTTCCTCAAAAGCTTTTACTACGCTAGATACTTTCCTCAAAAAATTATAATAATTTAATTTTAACAAGTTTAAATAAAAAATAATAATAAAAGCATTCACAAATATAGCTAAGTTTATAGTAAAAAAAATAATAAAATTATTCATAAATAGAATTAGAGTTGTGGTCATAGTTGAGCTAGCCTGTAAAAAAAAGATTCATGTAAGTTTAGGCCTAATATTTTATTTTATTAAAAGTAAAACAAATGATGTGTTGTTTGCTTGTTTAAGTTTCAATAATTGGAGTTGTGGTTAAAAATTGGGGTAAGTATTTTTCAAATATAAATAAATATTTTTCAAGTTATTATTATATAAAAACATTTGATAATGACCATTAAAGTATCTAGAAATCAATTCCTCAACTTAAAATAGCCATAAACTGTTAATAACACATAAAATTAAATACAAAAATAATATTATTTTCAAGACATGGTCAATCAATAATATTTTTTTGTCATTTTTTCTAACAACTTTCTTTTAAAAAAAAATTAAAATACAAGTAAAATAAAATTATGGACTAAAACTAAACAGACTGTAAAAGGAAGGAAAAAAAAGTTGGAAGAAAAAGTGTTTCTCATGCGAATTTAATGCAGGTCACAAAGTTTTTACTTATTTTATAGTTTTTTTTAATTGTCTTTTTAAACCAAATTAAAACTATATTTTATTGGATGTTTGTAAGGAAATACAGTGAAAATTACTTTTTAAAATATTTTTATTTAAAGATATATTTTTTTAATATTAAGATATCAAAATCATAAAAAACACTAAAAAATATTAATTTTTATTTTTAAAAATAAAATAAAATAATTGAAAAATATATTCAAACCACCCTCCCAAGCTAATATAATTCGACCCCAAAAAAGTTATAAAGCATGACAAAAACCTCTGAACTTACACAGTGCGTAAGGATAGAATACAACCACCTCGCAAAACACCCGCTTACGGTCTTAAAATGATGTAATTAAAAAAAATAAAAAATCGAAGCCCAGTATAAAATAAAAATTCACTATTAGCGTGACATTGTTTTCATTCGAGTGAGACACCACGTTTTTAATGGTTTTAATTTGAATTAGAATGTTGATGGTTTACGTAAAATTGTGACTAATATAAATCTTCTTTAAATATAATTTGATTGGCGTGAAAAATATAAATCAGGAGAAAAAAAGGAAGCCTATGCAAAAACTAAATGGGGAAAACTGTCATGAGCTAAACAAATTTGACACACGGACGCATATATGCTATCCAGCAGGGAAAAAAACAAACAAATAGGAATTGATACAAAGTGACTTGTTTAATCTATAAGGTTTAAAGACAATCAAGTAACTAATAAAAATTAATTTAACTCAAAATATTTTTTAAAAATATTAAAAAATATATATTGAATCGATTTGAATAAACCAGAATTAATCTGATGAGACTATAATAACATCGTAAAAAATAAATAAATAAATTATAAAATTTAATTTTAAATAATATAATGTTAAATAGTGAAATTAAAAAAATTAATAAAAAAATAAAAAAAATAACTTAATTCAACCCGAACTAACTTGATAAACCTGCAATATATATTATAGAATCAGGATAAATTAATAAAAAATAAATTAAAACAAGTTTAATTTTCAATCTACTTCGTATTGAAAAATAAATTTAAAAATAAATTTGATTATGAAATAATATAAAAACAACTTGATTTAACCTGTATTAATTAGCTAAATTCGTGACTCGAGTTATGAGATAATAATAAACTTACATAAAATAAAAAATAAAAATAAACTTAATTTTCGTCCAACTAACTATTTAACATTAAATTTTTAAAAAATAATTAATAAAAATATTCAAGTCAAATAAATTAAAACATCAAATCTTAAAATCTAAATTATAAAATTAGGATATAACGTTATAAAAAAATAAAAATAAAATTATGAATTCTTATTTTTAATATTTCTAATATCAAAGCACATAAATGAAATTACAAAAATAAAAACTCTAAAAAAATATTATTTTAATAAATAATAAGAAAGTTACATAAAAAATAAATAAATAAATAAATAAATAGTGTTTTGAGTTACAGTGTTTTTTTGTTTTTCAACGAGTGACATCTGCAGGTCCACGTCCATTTAAGCAGCCATTCCATACGACGTCGCTTACCAAAACTTTCAGACACCTGACTCATGCCCAAAACTGGTCTCATCTTCAACACCAAAACCCCACCCCCTGCATGCCCTACAGTACACACTATCAGCAAAATCAGTTTCTCTAACAACACCATCGCCTTAGTTTTCTATTCAATTCCTCCTTTTCTTATTTTCATAAACGTTTCCATTTCTTAAAAGATTAAAAAAGAGAGAGAAATGTCGTGGCTGAGATCTGCTGTGAGCAAGGCAGTGGAAGTAGGGAACAATAACAACCTTACCCGAGCAGTTAAAACCTACGCCGACTCTGTTGTTCACCAAGCTGGTCAAGCCGTAGCTGAAGGAGCCAAAATATTGCAAGATCGTATTGTAATCTCTCTTCACTTTGATTTTTTATCTGCAATTAGGGTTTTTTATTTGACTGGATAATTTGATTCTATTTCATATATATATATATATACAATCAAGCTTCTGCGTAATTTAGTTAATTTATCTGTTCCGTTATGAATTTAGGGGAATAGGAATTATAAAAGTGCTAAGCAGACTGCCAAGAGATTAGAGGACGCTGCCATCTCCTGTCGCGGCCTGGAGAGGGTTTTGTTGCTGAGAAGATGGGTGGTTGTGCTCAAACAATTCGAAAAGTTATCTGGAGGTTTTGTGGAAGATAAACAGACATCCGTTGAGCAAAATGTTGGGCCTGATGCATCATCGGGCAGTCCAAGAAAAACATC